TTTCTTAATAAGTACCAAAAATTTAAAACTTTTAAAAACAGGTTTGGGCTTTTAACTTGGTTGTCTAAAACCTTCCCCATTTAACCAACTTTTTATCTTTGTTAATAACCGAAATCCCTGCACTGAGTGCTTGTTAATGGGACACACTGTATAATTTCTTTCTTCGACTGATTATAGAGTGTTTTGTTTTTTAATTAAATCACTTTTTGTATAACTACACAAAAGTCGGTATAAGATAACTGTATAAAGAAAAAAAAAAACGAATATTGATGGAACTTTTTCAAGCGACTCCGAAAACTTTTAAACTCTTTGAATCGATCATGCTGTGGACTTAAGCCGTTGAATTGTATTCCGGATCCTCTTATTCTTTTTTTTATTAATTGTAAGCGAAGAACACAATCGAATACTTTGAACTTTCTAATAAAAATTCCACATGGATACAAATTTAATTTTATTTCGGATTTTCTAGTATTCCCTTTCCGAATCGGAACTGGATTAGATTAAGGAATGTTAATTTTAGAAAGTCTGTTCGCTGTATTTATATATTTTTCTTGTAAGTGGAAATATACGGATTTGTTTAAATTAAATTACATAATTAACTAATTAAAAGAACATGATACGGACATGAAAAGTTAAACAAAGATTGCATTACTATACAGGGTGGGCCACTTAAAAGTTCCACCTCCCCTTATCTTCGTTATTCATTGAGATATCGGAATATTTTTTTGTTTGTTTGAAAGACTGGAACTAATTCTTTCTTATGATGGATTTTATTAGTCTGTGACCTCATGGCTTACTTCCGGTTTTTCCGGAAATAACAGAAAATCGTAATTTATTTTTAAATTTAAACCCACTTTTTTATTGTAAATTTGAATTTCCGTGACATTTTTGTATAATAATCGTGTATTGAAAATTGTTTGTCAGCTGTCAAAATGGCCGCCATATTGGATAATATTTTTTTTAAACATGTTACTATTAATTCTGGAAAAAATATGGGAATGTATGATCTTTATAAAATCATTGTAAGCTTCAAAATTCCTATTGAGACCCACTTACAGTGCACCAGTACACCAGCATTTTCATTATTAGCAAACCGGTAAAGTAGTTCGAGGGCGGTAAAGCAGTCCGCGGGCGATACAGGGGTACTTTACGCCCGCTAAACGTATTTATAATCTGGACTTTATCGCCCGGTCATGCTTAAATTTGTTTATTGCTAAATAAAGGACAAAAGTTACTGTTTTATTTAATTTTAAATAAGTCATATTTATTTTAATTGATAAATTATTTACTACGTATTCTTATTATTTAATCTAATCTAAAAAAATACGTATTGCAAATATTAATTAAATAAGTAGCTTTAATATTTAAGAGTCTCATTTTTGTTAAATTTAAGTACCAATAATAACAAAACTTAGGGCAGAGAATTTTTTGTAAACCTTCGAAAAGTATTTATTTTGAAAAGGTTTAATAGGAGTAACAAAAATTACGCTCCATTCTCTATTAAATCTATACGAATTTGCTGCTTTTTGTTTTAATAAATATCTAGTAGTTTTTAAATGGGATGATTTCCCACCTCTTTTTTTATTAAACGTCTCTGTAGAGTGCTGCCTTATTTAAAGCTCTCAATATTGTCAAGACACACAATCCCAGTGGCATCGCATAAAATTACAATTTTATATTAGATAATCCTTGAAACATTTTTGCTTTTGCGAGAGGTCCGGTTTCTCTTAAGTAACAAACGTCTCCATACAGATCTCGATATCTTTGTAAAGACCACAGGTTCTCATAGTAGGATTTTATTTTCTTCGGTTTTTGTTTTGCTTTTAAAATAATCAATTTCTTTGCATTCATGCTGTTCGCCAAAAATATGGAAAGAAACCTTTTGTAGTTTATTTATTTTTAATTGCTCACATATATCTTCACTAAGTCTTTATTTTAATGCTTATGAAGTTGCAATTCGAATTCGTAAAATATTAATTTCCAACTGTTTCCTAAGATACGGTGAAACATTTTCGTTAGATGAAAAGCTTTTTGGTCTTTATGAAACACAAAATATTATTCTGGGACCAAATACTTTTTAAAAACTTAGTGCATTGTTTCCTTAATATTTTAGAAAAATTTCAGAGGTCCATATGGATGTTTTTGTAAAAGTTTATCATGAACTGAACTATCGTTATCTCCAACTAAAGCAGAATATTTTATTCCATGCTTGACATGAAGACACTAACTATTATGTCTGCTTCCATGCTTGTTGAAGAACCTGTCCAGTTCTTGTAACATGCGTGATTTTTTGCATGTTTTTTTATAATAATATTTAATTTTTTATTCGCAAAAATAATATTTTTCCCGTCCGAAATCCTATTATACAAGCCTGAAAAATATTATGTAAATTCATTGACTATTGTGTACTCACATCATAATAAGAAATTATACTTACGACTCCAGAATCCGCATCATTATATAACCGCTTGGACCATCAGCAACAACTGTTATGCATGCAATGCCATTTTCATCCACTTATCTCAATTCTTTTACGATGTATGCTTCACTTTTAGCAGCTTCTTGCATAGTGTCTGAAAGTGATCCATAAATAATAGAACCAAATTATTCGTAGTATTTTGTGTAAGTCTTATCAGACATCATTGGCATGTCAATAGGAGCACCTAGTTGCTCAAGTTGAACATGACTAATTTCAGTCTAAATAGCTCCTAGAACCATTGAAGAATTTATACCCATGTCTTCGGAGTAGTGTTTCTTTCAGCAACTAATTGAAGTTTATATAGCTAGCATTACATTGGCCCAATATCTAATGTCTAAAATGAGGCATAATTTTATTGAATATACATTATTTTAAATTTTCCAACAGACTACATTTTTGTATAACGAGTACTGTCATTAAAAAGAAGGTTCATTCTCTATTATCCAACGTGGAAGTTGAAGATTGAAAGAGCCAACATCGGTGTTACAAAAGACACTACCTGTAGTAATACAAATCCGGAATCCCAAATTACAGAGTTTTCATCCCATGTGATTAAATTGATAGCCAATTGACATTAATATCTTCAGTAGCAACACTAAGACAATGTCACTGACCTACTTAACAAAATTGATACGAAAGCTGTCATCTAAGTCACTGAAAAGGGCCATTTTTATTAAATTTCTAGTTTTCCAGATCACGTTGGATAAGGATATTATTTAAAACTCGTTATATTATATAATAAATACAGACGAATAAATACAAACTTATTTCAATTTTCTAACTCACACTATCTGACTTATAAGAGTAATCGACATAGATTTTTCATTTTAAGGCTACTATTAAGAGCTGAAAGTCACCCTTCTTTTGGTTGTTCCTTATTTGACAATTCCCTGTAAAAAAAAAGAACTTCATTCCACATTTACATTGAAATATTATCTATACGTACACTAATCAAACACTTTGAAGAAACCTAACAAAACAAGGCACCGAATGCTAACCATGTGGGTATAAAACAAATTAATCCATGGTCAGGTACTGTTTCAACTGACCTTCATCATGCCTAAACTAACCAAATAACTGCTACTATAGACATATATTTTAGCTTTTAGTATGACAAATAAGGGTGAAATTTGCATTTCGCGATAGGTCAGGTTTCCTCTTAATATAAATAGATTAAAAAGAGTGGATAACATCTTCCTATCAACTTCAAAGTGGCGTAAAACAAAAACTAAGTAATTTTTGATCATACAGATCACAGATTATTAGATCAGCTGCTTAGATCAGCTGTATCACGATACACAGACCAACGGTATGTTCCTGCGCATGCAGCTGACTGACGATGAAGTCACGTGGGACATGACGTGGGACATAGAATTATTAGCATTAAATAGGAGATAGTGTTTGAAATTAGATATTTCGCCGATTTTAGATTTTATTCAGTTACTTAAACTATTGGTTATTTTGTAATATATTCGTTTACAAATATGAAGGTATAAGGTAAATAATACCAATAAAAATATTAATTTTTCTCATAAATTAGAGGTATTTTGTGACAAAATCCATAATCTGGCCATAATATAAGTAAAGAATATAGACTAAAAACATAAGTTTGACTTAAATTTGTACTTTCTGGGCATGGTAATTCTCTTAAAATTCCTTTTATTATTTTGTGAAATAAAAATAAGTGTGCAGAAACAAATTATTTATTTATAAAAAGTAAGTACACAAAAAAAATTACTTTTTATTTGGTATATTTAACTATTTTTTAGTCAAGTTTACTTTGATAATACTCAAAACCAATTTTTCTGTTCATGTATCTTATTCTTATATATATGTTCGTGTCTTGCTCATGCATAGTATTACTTCAAAAGGGACCGTTGTACTGGGACATGAAACTATTGTTTTATCTGCTAAAATTTTAAAATACCTATTTATTTTCTTTGCTTCTAAACCTATTATACTTTGGCATTTTACTAACCATTGTTTAAATTAAGTTTGTCCTTTCTTCGATAAGAATTTACCCACATTTTGTAGCATTTGGAAATGTTTTACACTATTTTTAGATTTCGAATTATGGTTTTTGCAAGTCGCCACCGCGCAGTCCGGCATTTTAAACATTATTTCAGTTCTTCTCTGTTATGTACAGGAAAATATCGTCACTACTAACACAAAACCAAATAAATTATTGTGTCAAAATAACTTGAAAGTTCGTCCCGCATTACTTCACTGCGCGGTTTGGACAAAATTTGAATCGAAAGTCAGCATACCATTAGTATGTGTATCGTGAGCTGTATGGTGCTAACAATTGAATCAAATTTGATCGAAATGCAACATCATTAAGGATTGGTAAAAGGTCCTTTACCGCTAAAATGATTTAGTAACTTTTCCCTGTGTGAATGCCATTCTTTCTAGTTTCACACCTCGTATATAGTTAATTACATAAAGTGGTGCTACGTTCGCATTCAAATTTACCGTAGTCGATTTGAATGAGCAAAATTGCCAACATCTTGTTTCATTTTAGGACTGCAATTGTGATGGAGAATTTGATTGCAAGGACAGGGCAGCCATTCATCTAAAAGGAGCTAATTGCGAGTATCCCGAATTTGGGGCAGCTTACGCAGCGCGGTTCAATGAGTGTGCGAAAGAAATTGGAGTTAACACAATGCTGGAGAGGGAAGGAACCAGCGAGTGTACATCTCCCAAAATTGATGTTAGATCTAATTGAATATTATAATAGAAATTATGTACAGGAATAGTAATAGTACACCGAGTGTTTTGTGAAATATTAATTAAGTTATAATTTATTGGAATACATTTTTAAATACGTATTTTTTTTATTTCATTCTTTCAAAAATATCATCTGGGGCTCGAGATTAACAACCATCAATGGTAGGGAATTGCATGCAGCTGCAAGTGAAATTGGGTGTGACTACCAGTCAACAGGAAAACCGGCCAACGGACAGAAATAAAATACCTGACTTACTGGACTTTTATATCACTAGCAAAATACCCGGAATTTTTATTAAAATAGAAGAAAACTTTGACTGAGTCAGAAGCGAAAATATAATCCAAAAAGAAATTAGACCCACATTGTGTGATAAAAAGACAGACTGGGTAAGTTTTAAAACTGAATTAAGTAATAAGGGCACTACTAACAACAAAAGAACAACTCGAGTACGATCTGAAAAAATTTATCATTGATATACAGCAGTCATCATGGAACAATTCACCCGAAATTACAAGAAAAAACGTAGGCAATTCATGCCCTAGAGAAATAGAACAATAAATAAGAAGAGAAAGGCAAGAAAAAATGGCAAATCACCAGATTTCCTGACGATAAAGTAATTCTCAACAAAACAATTAAAATGAGAAATAATCACTTATAAAAATGAATCAATAGACACATATCTCAGAAAATTGACGAACGATAAAAATACTGATTACTCTCTATGAGAAGCGACTAGGAAACTTAAACGTCCAATAGTCCATATGCCACCAATAAAAGAAGATAACAGAAACTGGGCAAGATCAAATAACATAGTAAAAATTCCTAGAGTAACGCCTAAAGAGGTAGCTAAGGAAATCAAAGAAAATATCAGTTCTGAGAAAGCGCCCGGGTATAATCTGATTGCAGGTAAAATACTAAAACAATTGCCAAGAAAAGCTATGGTTAAACTTATTAATATAATAAACGCTGTATTTCGACTAGAGCATGTACCTAGCATATAGAAAGTCGACGAAATTTTAATGATACCTAAACCTGGAAAACCACCAATGTGGTAAAGTCCTATAGACCTATAGCCTTGTTACCAGTGTTATCTAAACTTTCTGAAAAACTTTTACTAAAAACATTGAAACCACTGATAGACAGTAAAAATATAATACCTGACTACCAATTTCGATTTAGAAACAAGCATTCCACTATTGACCATGTCCACAGAATAACGAATGAAATAGAGTAAACACTGGAAGAAAAGAAGATCTGCACCTTACTCTTTCTAGATGTGGCTCAGGCTTTCGATAAAGCATGATTAAAAAGTCTTGAATATAAAATAAATACATCTTAAAATCTTACTTGACTAGAATCTTCCGAGTAAAAAAATTAAACCATCTTAAATAAATTATTGTTCAAAGTTAAGTTAATCATTTTTTTCTCGTAATCGGCTAATGATATGCAAATGTATGAATTTAATTTTTTTTTTTGAAAACGGGGTGTCGTACGATAAAAGTCAAGAAATTAAATTTGTTATAAATTGATCGGGGACTCCAAAAATAATTTTTATTTTAAGAAAAAGCAGTGGCGTACTACTTTTTTTTTCAAAAATATCTAGTCTAGTACGGACGCCACTGCAGGAAATAAAAAATGTTTTTAGGTCAAAAAATGCTCTTTAATCTTAGATAAAAGAGACCGGAGATGTAACATTGCACATTGCGCATGTTGTCTATTCCAAACCTAAGTAACCCACCAATTAAAAATCATTGTGTTCACGACGCCACCCGAATTGCTCCGAAATTTCTATTCTTCGCTTGTCTCCGCGTGAGTAAATCATTTATGGACCGCCGTTTTTGAATTATTTGTTGGGGTTATTAGCAATTTAAAGTGTTTTAGTTATTCAATTTCAAGTTGAAAATGCCACGATGTATGGTGAAAAATTGTATATACAAATAATATGTGTCAATGTTATGAAAAATAAGAAATATATTCGTTTTCAGCGGTAAATATTTGTTGACGTTTTGACATAAAGTCGCCATGATTCTTTGAGCTGAATACTTCAGATCCGCATTAAGGGGTTTCAATAAATATTTAATCTAAATAAGAAGTAAATAGGCATTGTTACTAACGAAATTTTGTTTTTAAAAAGTAGTTTTATAAGAATATTTACTAAAAGTGGTTTTTAGCCCTTTATTAGATATTTTTACAAGAATATTAGATGAAATACAGGTTCACCTACTTAAAATTTCAAGGTTTATTTTATTTGCGGTTAAATCAGAAGTGACATTTGAATCTTAAAACAAAGTAAAACGCGCAATATGATCTAGTATAAGCAAAAAATACTAAAGTTACGGAAATTAGTCATATTATTAGTAAAATGTTACATTATAAACCCCTAAACAACTCGAAAAATATCTTCGTTTACTAAAAAAATCTAAATTCTAGCAATATTTATTATACAATCGAATGCGGTTTCAAAGATAACAGGATCAATAAATCCGAATCTCTAAATTTTGGAGCTAAATGCTCTGATAAAAGCATGCGACCGATAGGGGTTACAAAAATAATCGATTTATCGTTTTCATGAAAATCGATTTATCCGTTATAATTAATCGATTATCTTTAATAGATTATTTTTGATTAATCGAACATTTTTAATAAATTTTTTTCGTTTTTTTTAGGTAATGGAATAATCGATTATAAAGGAATTACAAAAAGAGAGTAGATTTATTCAAAATATTCGATTTATTGAAAATAATCGATTTTTTAGAAAAATCGATTTATTGTTTAATAGACTTTTTAAATGAATCGATTATTTTCGATTAATCGATTATTTTCGATTAATCGATTATTTTAGATTAATCGATTATTTTAGATTTTTCAAAGGTATTCAAATAATTTGTTTTAAAATACAAAAAATAGATTATATAAAAATAATCGATTGATCGAATATAATCGGTTATATTATATAATCGATATTTCGGTTATTTTTTAGAATTATTGATTTATCGGTAAATCAGCTTTTTATTAATCAATTATTTTCGATTTTTCAAAGAAAATTAAATAATCAGTTTTAAAAGGAATATAAAAAAAGAAAAGGATTATTTGTAAATAATCATTAATTATTCAGTTTTTTTTTTGGAAAATCGATTTATCGTAGAATCTTCTTAATTAATTGGTTATTTTCCGTTAATCGATTATTTTCGATGTTTCAAAAATGATCGAATAATTGATTTTAAAGGAAATAATTCTTTTTTTTTTTTTGAAAAATCGATTTATCGATTATTCGACTTTTTAATTAATCGATTATTTTTGATTAATCGATTATTTTAGATTTTTCAAAGATTATCGATGGAAATACGAAAAAAAAAATAGAAATTAAAAATAATCGATTATTTAAAATAAACGATAATTCGTTTATTATTTTTTGTAAACACTGATTTATCGGTTAATTGGCTTTTTAATTAATCTATTTTTTTTGATTTTTTAAAGATAATCAAGTAGTCAATTTTAAAGGAAATACGAACAAAAATAGATTGTTTGAAAATAATCGATTGATCGAAAATAATCGATTATTATTAATGATCAATAATTTATTTCGATAATCACCCACTCCTAGCGACCAAATGACTTTTAATAGGTTTAAATTTTAAAATGTTATCTGGTTTCAGACATATACATTTCTAGAGTTTTATGTGACGCATCCTCTATATTAATTAATATTCCTAAAGAAACAAGCTTTAATATATCTTTTTCTGAGGTTATAATACAAAACAGCATTTTCTCATTTTGACTAAATTTTAATATTATGTGATAGTCGTAGAAAAAATATAATGTTCAACTCACAAGGTTTGATTTGCAGTATTCGCCTGCGCACATGCTTTTTTATAATACTCTTAGACAATGAGTACCATTTCTTACTCGATTAACAATATTCTATTTCAACATTTTACTGTAGTCTCTTACAGAAAAGTCCATAGTAAATAATAGATAACGAAATTATCTATTAAAGGTCTTCTCTTTACATAAAATGTCGTGGCATCTGTTTGATATTAAAAAATCACGTTAAATTTATTTCATAATACAAAATTCCATTAAACGTATATTTTAAATAAATCTAATAGTTCATTATGATGCTAATAAACAAAGTCCGGTCCCTGTCACAGAGTTCGAGTCCCTGCCCAGTTCCCCCACTCCGTTAACCTTTCTTTAGAAATTGGCAACATTTGCGCAGGTTAAACACAGGTGTATGTTATATCTCTGGTCTCTTTTATCTAAGTCTTTAATGCATAAACGCCGTACACCAAATTTCATAAAAATATTTAAAGTGGCATGAAAATAATAAAAAAATGATTTAGTTCTTGATGAATTTTAAATACGAATTCTTGATTATATATATTGACAAATTTATGAGATGATTTTCTATATTCTTAAGTTGTTATTTTTGTTAATGATTTGAATATTTCCAGATATATTGATCAAGACTTAAAGGAAACAAATTTTTTTTTACTAATAATATTTTTTAGCAATCTGTAGATTACAACAATTCATTATTATTGTAAATAACATGGCAAGGTTACTCGACTTTCTTTTATCTAATGCTGATACCGTAGAGATTGATCACGATCTTGAACTTTATGGTTTTGAGTATGAATTTTGATTTGTCTAAAATTCTAATATGTGAAAAATTTAAGTATGCCGACGACATAACAATCTTATCTTCAATAAAAAGTGATTGTGATGGACATAACCTTGACATTGTCAACAACTTAAAAATATAAGGTTGAATGAATTGATTGCAATGGTAAAATTGTGTCTTTATACAAGAAAATAAAATGTAATTAAAAATTATTATAAAATAAGCAATAAATCTTTATCTCGTACTGTATTAAACAATATTTGACTCGGAGTTAAATTTTTTACAAAACAATAAACGTCAATCATATGTTTAACCCCATTAATTTTAAAAAATCTTATCAAAATAACAGTATTTTTTTAAATAAATATGTAGGATTTTGATTTCATCTCCTGAAAAATTTGTAAAAGTGTACATCCGATTTTGCAGGCGAGCTCCTCAGTTGCGAATCGTGATATTTCAAAACTAAAATAGACC